TCACAATCACGTTTGATTGTACTCCTCCTTTCTGTCGGAGAAAGTATGCATAATAAAATTAAAGATCGCGAGGAATGGTTTTGTGTGTTTATTACAGCCGCTTAGGCACCAGAGAGACCGTGACGGTTTTTCGCGAGTTTCGCGTCGACTTACTGAAGTACGCTTGTTCCCGGTTTGAATTAATTTCGTGCATAGCTCGTTGTCGCATTCCCCGGAGACCGGACCGTTGCACGAAAAGTAATATTGCCGGCTGCTGCACCGCTGCGGAATCGACGGTACGAACGTCGCCGAACGAAGACGGTGAGCGAGGAGGGAAGAGCAGACGAGGCAAAGACGACGGGACGAGAGGATCGCACGGCACGGGAACGCTTCTTAGAGAATGTCGAAGAATATGGAAGCGCAGTTGGTAGAAGGAAGGATAACGATACGATGCTCGATACGAATGGTAGGAAAACACGAAGAGACGAAGGACGACGAAGATAAAAGAGAACTGTAAAGTGGCGCGGCAAATGCGGGACGAAGATGGGAGGGTGAAGGAAAATATAGGAAGCTCCTTCATTTTCATTAATAAAACATCTCGTTGGGTAGGAAGTTCCATGGAAAAAAGTGCCGTACGGATGGTTGGACGGACGAGAATCGAGGAAAGAAATGGGGAGCCACTAGAAACCTGCCAGCGGCGCGGCGAGGTTTGCGACTATTTCTGAATAACAACGAAATGCAAAGCAGCTGATAGCGGCGGCGGCGGCGTGGCTGTCGACGTAGTGGAAGTGCAAGAGCAACCGAACTGTATGCTCGCGCTATTCTTCAACTACCAGCTCTTCACTACCGTCACCATCTTTGGCCTCTCAAGACCGCAAACTCTTCTTACGTGTACCTACCCACTGGTAAGAGCCTCTTCCTTAAGATCCCCTCCGTCTTCCCGACCCCATGGCTCTTCGCCGTACTACCGCTTCTCCGCAGACCGTTCCTCGTCCGCGAGAGGTTAATCCCTCTCCGGGGAAAATTAGCCTGCTGTTCACAGCTCGTTTTGTCTCTGCCCTTTCTGTGCCGTGTCTCTCGACTTTCGCCGGCGGTGTTCCGTAACCGAGTCGAAAACGGATTGCCATCGTTCCTCGTTTAAGCATTATACGTATACGCGGCTCACGCGGTTACCTTTTTCAGACCTGGCTTAAGCTCAAACTCGAAGCCATTACATCTTGTAATTGATGCAGTTAGACACATGTAATCAATAACAAAAAGAAACTCAATAGAGCTTAGAATATAATTATTATTGCTGAATATAATTATTATTGTTCATGAGAGTATACGTACATTAACACTGTACGTATACTCTCTCTGATCTTGTTTTCAACAAACTCGCATTCTTGTCTCAGCGGTCAACTAGTTTGACTGTAGAAATTCACACGCGGGGAATACATGGTACTAATTGTTTCACTGTGGGTCAGCGTTAGTTCCGCGAGTTTTAATGACGTGGGCGATATTTCCACACGCAGAATTCGAAGTAACTGAAATCGTAATCGGTTTAAGAGCGCGTTTAAACACGAAGACTGTCATTAATGGTTGAAAGTTTCCACCGCATATACATAGGCAGCAGATCGTACCGTGTATGGCTGGCAATTACCGAGCAGAGAGTCCCTTGAATTATGCATACAGAGTACAGCGTAATGTATACGGCCTGTCATACAATTTGTAGGTCAGCCTTCTGCAGTCTTTACTCACCCAGCCTTTCACGGCTGCGTCAAATATTAATGCCGTGAATGATTTAGCGGCTTGTCAACCTGACAGGCAGCACACGCCGCGCCGTCGTTCGCGGTTAATCGAATTTTATGCTCCTCTTACGACGATGCCGAAGTCAAAATTCACATGAGACTCACTAGAAATCTTCCAAATGACATCGAACAATTTTGTTCTTATAGACTTTCATTCGAAGGCAATGTATGTATGGAATGTTTCTGATTTCTCAATCAGAACACTGAAACTCGGAAGCAAGGAAGCTGTAGAGGACGCGAGTTCGCACGGGGTGTCTTTAAGGGACGTTCGTAAAACGTAATACTTTCGCTACGCTCTTTAAACTTGAACTTATTTCTCTTCTTCTAAAAATGGCCCGGATAACGAGACACGACCGTACGTCTTGTTACGAGAGTTTCGAGACACGTGATTGTTCACGTGCGACTCGCTTGCACGTACACCTACGCAGGGATCGCAACGTGTCGTCATGTGAGTGTGCGCGCGTGTAGTTACTTCCGCACGTCCGCGCATGCAACGGTACGTCACATTTAAAGTACTCTGAAAGTCATAAACGTCCGTGACACGACGGCCGAGCGTTGTAGCAATTCACCCTGCGCTCTCCTACGTTGGCAAGTTTACGAGACCACGAAACGCGTGGGAGGTCAGATCATCCCTTGGCGTCGGCCGGCTCTTTCCGTATCGTCGCTGAATAATTAGATTTATCGATCATTAATGTAACAATGAGTGAAGTTCATTTCGTTCGAAGTCAAAATTCGAGTTAAAGTGAAAGAAGGATTATGGGCCTTCCGTTTATAGCCACGTTCATTTAGATTAGCACTTGTGAATAGGATTAGTAGTAAAATGTTCATCACAGTTTTATTATAAGATAACAGCCGTTGTTAGCGCGATGTAACAACTTCAAGGCTTTCGCAACTTTGAACCTGATGTCTAACCATATTTCAACTATCTACCTGGTTATTTGAAACGAAAACTATCATTAAAAGTTAAGGGTCTTGGTTAATTCACGAGAAAAGTAGTTCCCTAAGTCTACTTTGCCCCGTGCTTTAACGGTACACGTAACTGATACTTCTCTTTGCCATTTTCATTCCACGCACTAAACTAGGCGTTCACTAGTTACATATTGACGTTAACGTCCGACTAAGAACAATTATTCAAATGAATCTTATTCTCATTTTGTCTGCGTTTAATTTTTTTACAGTGACACCATGCCGCGTTACACGCCTTGGCGGCTGCAATTTTTCTCCCGTTCATTCATTTCCGGGCGCAAGTGTGACTTAAAGAAAAACCGCGCCATCTAAAAGTTTGACTTTTTATCGCGACGGCTAGTCTCAATTTTTAACGACGGCATAATTTATGATCTTCAAGAACCTCTGAAATGATGCATTGCCTTGGTGGGCGAAACGCTGGCAGACATCCGCGAACGGAAAACACCGTGCAAAAATCAGTATTAAACAACGCGAAGACAGCAATTTGCGTCTACAGCCTGAAAAAAAGTCGAATGAGATAAAATACGAAACGATATTAAATTGATCGAAATAAGAAGGCAATT